GAGCAAGATGGTTTATCTTGCGGCAGTGCCGGACACCGTCGACGGTATGGGTACAGTGACGCTGTTTGTCGATCGTGTCTTTCGATAGCTAAACTCCCAAATTCAATTGTCTTTGAAAGAGACCCACGCTTCACGGGAAAGCTCTGGTTGACTAATTCTACGGTGCTAGGCACCAAGTTGACTAAGTCAACAGCGGACCATCCGCAGACCGATGGTCAGATTGAGCGCGTGAATCGCATCGTCAAAGACGTTCTTTGCAGCGTCTGCGCTGAGACGCTGAATTGCTATGTTGCCGATCGTATAACTTACTCTGAACAATGCAGTGCTATCATCCACTGGCTATACGCCGTTCTACGTGAACAGGCTCGCGTCACGCTGACGCCGACATCCCACGGATCAGAAATTGGTTGGGGGAGGAAAAGCCGAACGGCTAGCTGATGTCAGCCCCCTCATATTTGCAGCTAGGATGATTACCAGTCCCAATACAGAAAGTCGAAGACTTCCTATCTACTAGACTAAGTGTCTTACGTAACATTCGCGATTCGATGGCTGAAAGCCAAAACATGCAGACGGAAAAGCAAGAAGAAATGCTGAAAACACTGAGGTAGAAGACCTGACTTTATTAAACGTTAAAATTTTTACATGCAGTTTCTACTGTCTTTAAGACAAAGCTCCGGTCACGGATTATTGGACCCTCTAATGTCGTGACAAAGCGAGGCCTAGCTTATACGCTGAACTTTCCGAGAAGGATGCGCACCCACCCGGTGTTTTATGTGGGCTTGCTTAAGCCGAATCGGGATCCAGCGCAAGTGAACGCGGAAGCGTTGGCGCCAGGGCGGTGCCCAAAGGCACTCGGCCACCCAGAAGTTGAAACAGTAACTGGTTCTGAGCACGGAATGCAACAACTTTCGTTTATTCCACTGGCGCAAGTCGCTCCACCATCGCACGAAGTGACGTATTTGTCTACTCGGTAGGCGAACTCGGAGAGATGCTCGGCAGAATGCCGATGACGACGGAATTTGTTCTTCAACGCTCGAAGAGCATCGCGAGTTTCCGGACGGCGATCGACCAAGTCGTTATCGCCCGCCGCCGACTCTTTTCGGTGAGAATGGTGGCATCCACTACCACGTGGAACGCCTTGTGGGACGACGTCGTCGACGGGGTATAATACAATACCTCGTGAAGCTGCGGGGATACCCAAACTCCGAGAACTCGTGGGAGTTT